TATATATATAAAATACATTTAAAAACGTTGCGTATGTATATATATTTAAATGAATATTACAATATATTTTGTATATTTTATTATCAGCAAGATTCCAAGCATCATATTTATAATACTTCGCAGTATTATAAATATTTTTCTCCTTCAGAGATATCAAGAAACATTATGAAATTAGTTTTTTAGGTGTCAATTCAGATCAAATTTTGGCCATTTTTAGGCACATATTTTTATTAAGATTTTAGGTGAGTGGGGAAGGCTATTCTAATAAATAATTACCCATACCTTCAAAATGTTTTACACTGAAAAAATATATAAGAACGAACAAGAATGATTCCTAACAAAGAATTATTTTAGGAAATTTTAATATTTTTTATTAAAAATGATTGTTATGCATAAATATATATGTAAAATACATAAATAAGCATAATGTATGTATATAAATATATATATATAATAGATATTGTTAGATATTAGAATATATACAAGTCTCATTGTACAGAAATAAAGAAAACTGAAATATGTCATGTATGTCGTATGATTTAACTGCTATCAGTGATTTTTCCAGCATTTTCTGGTATTAAGCCCAATGTCCACGATGCTAGAAATCGGTCCAAGGGCAGAGAAAGAATTAACAAATCAACAATTTGGTCACATGACCAATGCAATTGGTCAATTCTTTCTTCATCCGAGGTCGATTCTTTCTTCTTGGACTAATTTCTAGCATCGTGGACATCAAGCTTTATAAAGGAAAGCTCTCATTAGTACACATCCTAATAGCACATCTACTCACATTGACCTGTGTGTGTATGTGTGTGTGTGTGTGTATGTGCCTAATAATTTTTCACTGCTTTTCTAATAAGAACATTTTATTTTAAATTCGTCCATTAGCGATGTGCACTCTATTCTTTTCTATTATAAATATTATTTTTCATTTTCAGATATACCAAGAAACATTATAGACTTAGTTTTTTAATGTCAACTTGAAGCAAATTTTGGCAATTTTTAGGTATCATTCTTTTTGTACTTAAAATAAGATAAATATGTACTCGGACATTAAGAAAAAGAAAGCAAAGATGTAAACAGACTTTATGTTGACAAAATGTTTGGTTAGCTGTGGCAGCAATCGTTTCACAATTTCATTATCTGCCAGAACAAAATTAAATTTTTTGATAAAAGCTATTAATTTTATTAATACTGTTAATAAAAAATTTTAAATGGGTCATATTAACAGTAGAGGACCATATTACTACCTTTCTCTATATATGTATGGATATAAACATAGCCTAAAACTTACGAACTGTGCAGAGCAGCCATAGCGGTAAAAGTAATCGCAAAGAGAAAACAGATAATTTCGTAGGAAAACATTTTAGCAGCCAGCCGTTCTTCTATCGCTAGCTTCTCTTGAGCCACGTCGTTATTTGACTCGGACGTGGATGTTGACGTGATTTCGCGTGATAGGTTATCGGCATTTCTCGGCGAGCTCGTCTCGCGCTCCTTACTGGACACTCGCCCAGCCATCGCTTGTCGTCGCCGGCGTTCACCGCATCGCTGTTGCTCTCGTGCTTTTCCTCAATTTTGTTCTCCTACCGATCTCAAAATTATCTCTATCTATTCAATTATCAAAAAAAGCAACCCGTCTCTTCACCTCTCTAGTCAACTACTATCGTTCTATAACATTACAATCCGAAGCGCCACTACGGTCTGAGTATTAAGATGTTGAACTAATATATATATTTTTCAAACGAATGAATTAATTTCAGAAATAATAATTACGTGTCGATATGTCGACATTAACGCAATTGATCTGAAATGTAATAATCCCCCCAAAATTCCCCAAATTAATCTTAAAAAACTGTAATAAACTTATTGCGAAAAAATATTGCCTCGGTCAGGAGTCGAACCCGGATCTCTTGCAACTATCGTTCTACCTATGAAAAGGATAACATAGTGTGTCTTCCAACAAGCGACAATAACACGGTGTGACACAATGGATCATTACATCCTTAAGTTCGGCATTGCAAATCGGAGGCGTTCGATTTGCTTTTTTATCTCGAAAATCGTTCGGTAACTCGCATCTTTTTGCTACATCTCTACATTCGGTATTAACATTTCTAGAGCCAATCGAGCTACTCGATCCACTCCGGATTTAAAGGTCGAGCTCGCAGAGCTAATGCAGATTTTCGCGCTTAAATTAAATTCATAATCTGTATATTTATGATAATGTATCCAACTGATTCGTTAACACATAACGTGCATTCATCTCTTTTAATACTATTTTACAAATAGTGTATTTGAACTGTTATAATGTCTGAGTCTACAAATGTTCAAACAAATGCTATCAAATAGAAACTGATGGAGTACATTGTGTACAATATTTAACAAGGAAAGTAAGTTTTTAATTCTTTTCTTCTTTATGAATTTGAGATTACGCATTTGGAAACAGAATTTGCTAGTTAATTTTTAGATCAAAGCTTGCTATGATGCACAGAGAATGAAATAAAATTAAACTGTATTAATATATTAAAGACACTAACGAATATAAATCAAGTGATATATAATAATTTATAAATTGCTGAAATTTATTTTGCAATGTAGTATTTTCTTTTAAAAAAACACATCTTGCATATAAGTCTTCTACATTCATGTGTAACGATCTATTTTTAGTATGTAAAACTATTATTAGTTTCTAGTAAAGCGAAAAAAATTTTCAATTAATAAGATATTTTTTATTTATTTATAAAAATAAACAATTTCATTTTATAATCTAATTTTAAAGGAGTTTACAGTTCTGTAGCGTTCGGAATTAATTCTTGGGATTTGAATTGCTCGAAGATCACGTTATCAAGCTCGCCATCTGCTAGGTCTCAGATTTATGGCCACAGCACAGACTCTTGCATAACGTATAATGCATAATGCATAAGGAAATCAACCAATCGAAATTCTTCTTTTCCATGGAATAGGAAGAAAAGAAAGATTCTGATTAGTTAATTCGCTTATGCATGATGCGTTATTATGAAGTGACACGATATGACGCGGCAAATAGTTGTTCGCCAATGTTAAAGAAGTATGAGATGATCACTGTGTAGCTTGTTGGAAGGCACACACCTGGGCTGTATTGAGATATTTACTGCCAGTGGAAAAAATATGTGACGTATAATTTCAGTAATGACTGTGAATATCGAAACGTACCCCTGTGTTCAGTTTGCTCAGTTTTGCTCTCTAATCTCTGCCGTCTCTGTCTATGAATGTCGCATAAGAGGAAAAGGCTGTCAACTGCGAAACGTGAAACATGGGGCGGTATATAATCTGTTTGTATTTTAAAACTGTCTTAAATAATAGTATTGTTTGTTCTGTCTCTCGGGAACTGCTCGGGGTCGCTCCGAATGAATTCAGCGTACTTGAAATATAGACCGGTATTCATAGTCAATTCTTATTTCAAGACCGTCTTAAGTACGGTCTTAAGATGTCACAAACCAATCAGAAGACCGCATTAGCGACTTCTAAGACATTACTTAGGACGGTCTTAAAATAAGAACCGACTATAAATACCGGTCTCTGATTGGTTTGTGACAGCTTAAGATTATATTGAGTCATCTAAAAAGTATCCGCGGTTTTTTGTCACTAGATGGTGTTGACCACCAACACCATCTAGTGACAAAAAACCACGGATACTTTTTAGATGACCCAATATTTAAGATGATCTTGAATTTAAGAATCGACTATGAATACTGGTCGTAATATGAATCCTATAGTATTCATAGTCGAGTCTTATTTCAAGACCGTCTTAAGTAACGTCTTAAGATGCTAATGCAGTCTTCTGATTGGTTCGTGATTTTTTAAGACC